ATAGCTAGTATAAACTAAGTGATTATAGAAGGAACTACAGTGGTTACCATTTTACTATAAGAAATAAGGGTTTTCTTAAAGGATCTTTTCATCAAATATAAAGGAACTATTACAGTTAACTGCGTGAGTACCAGGTGAATACGTCAGGGTTATATACAACGATGATCTAACAAACAATGGGATGTGTGTCTTCCGCCTCATTTCATGTTCCATGTTTGGTTGTGGGCTTAGGGCAGATACACACAATCGATTGTTTGTTTACTCTGAGTTTTATATATCTTGTATCCATTTATTACTCATAGAAAGGACTGTTGAGTCATTTTTACTTATCTTTCATCAAAGCAGGAAATATAGGATTTTCTGGAGGAACAGACAAACTTTTCTAAACACAACTTACTATAACTTACTACAACTTTCTTACTACTCACTTACATCACTTAAATCTTATGAACTCACCATCTTAAATGCTGATCTACGCTTTCAAAATAACTTGTATTCTCAGGAGACCAGTAGACAGGTACGCGCTCTGGGAATTTAGAAGATTGAGCAGAATAGCTTCATGTCTTTTTTATATTTGCTATGTATTCTATATTATGTGAATCACATAATTTGTAAACACTTTCTTTCTAATGAAATGGTTGTTTATTACTTTGCTTACTATGATGCATGACTTGTGATACTAAACATGATGTCCTCCACCCCAGAACGTTTCCGTCGTTCCGGTTTTGGGGTGTGACACTATGACTACTTGTCAGATTGTTTGGTTATAATGACTTGATTGACTTCTCACATATATGGGTGTTGTCAATATACCCCCTTACATTGTGACAAAAACGGTACCACAAATTGTGAAGACTTCTTCTTTTTTCATGAGAGGACAAAACATATTGATATTACCGTCATTCACTCATTATCACTTTCAACTCGGAATCATCTCGCTACCATATGTATCATTAGCCTTGCAGATTACTGGTATTTTCAGCCTTGCAAAATGTTAATATTTTAACGAATGCTCAATCGGCGTCTCGTTTCCGTTTCTTGTGCGAAAAACTCACAATGTTTTTTGTTGTCATGTTGTGAGTTTAAGGATGATGTTAAGATAATAAATATTTTTTAGCTTATGTTATGTTGGGCTTTTGTTTATCTTATTTACCTAGGTAACTCTTTTATTTATAGTATGTCTTACTTTTATTTGTAATTACACGTTACCTTGAATAATTAAACCATAACTGTTTTATCTCTAAATTGTTATTACTTCACACAAACAACACGAAGTTTACATGAAGCTAACAATGTTGTATACTTTACAAAAGCTCAGATTATTATCTGAGAAAAATCTTCACAACAGAAAATAAGGATGAAAGAATTCTTGGGACAGGAATCATAGTACGTATGAATAAAGCTTATTTGAAATGCATTATAGATGGACCAACTATTCCTGTGACGCACATAAACAGCTATGGCCACAACTACACCATACATGTTTCCATATACTAAAACGAAAGATATCAAGTACTGGTTAGAAGAAGAGCATCCTCGACAACAAATAAATGGCAGAGAACTACAAGTTTAGGTGTTATTGGGCAATTGCATTTTGTTTTGTATCCAATATAACCACGGTTTAACCATGGCTTTACATTGGACGCTACAATCCGTGTATGTATATACTTACAGTGATACAAAAATATTGTGGAAAAAAACAATATAATGGACGAAGACAAATAAATGAACGGCCACCATAATAATACAATTAAAAAGGAAAACACCATTATTTATTTGACTGGCATCTCAACCACCACCACCACCATGATCGGGGGCCAGGACGGTGGAAACCACTGCTGCTGCCGCCAAGTTCTTCCCTCTATTCGGGTCCATGCCTTCGCCGATTTCTATGTCACGATTGGTTTGCCCTCTACACAAACCCACAGTTCCCTTGTGGTGTCTCTTTCGGTGGTGGCTGCTGCCGCCATGGGTGCTGTCTTTATAGCAGAGGGTGATCACCACCGTGAGAGCTGATGCAAGAAAAATGAAAGTTATCGTAGCGATGGCAGTGGCTTCCATCTTCCCAAGAGACTTTAGTGCATCATAAGATGATCATAATTAAACCCTCAAGTTGTTGACTGTTCTAATAATTATTAAAAATATAATATTAGTATTTTATAGCCTGCGGATATTACCATATCCATATTAAAAATACAAATTGAAGCCGGCTAAACTGAATTAATTGAAGATTTTTTAATTACGCCAATTATTTAAAAACTCTAGGTTGGTGCCTTTTGCGATCATTAAAATGTAAATTATATATAAAACATCATGAATCATGATTATAAATTAATATATATGCAATTTCTTTATTCTGCGGCATGGTTATTGTACTTCATAAACGTTTCTTTAATGAAAGATTTAGGTTATTTCTTGTTTTTTAAAAAGTTGAATAGAAAAAAAAAGAAATAATAAGAAAAATTAAATATTCTTCTATATTTTCTTGTTGCTCATCCTCCAACAAACCTTAAATGATATATATTTAATTAAAATAACAATATTTTAATACGATAAAATTGCAAGTTCGGTCTCTGTGATATGTCAAAAATTGGATGTTTGGTTCTAAAAGTTTTGGAGATGCACCGGTGCAAGTTTGATCCAAAAATTTTTGAAATATTTTAAATGATGAGTTTACCATTTTAATTTTGTTTTTTTATTTTCTTCTATTTATAACAATTAAAAGAAAAAGCTAAAATAAATCTCTCTCTCTCTCTCTCTCTCTCTCTCTCTCTCTCTCTCTCTCTCTC